AATCATTAGCGCTCGTGGTTATGTTTAATGGTGGCAATTTGTCGCAAATGTACGCTACTATAGTCAGCTTCGCTTCCTATTTGTTGTGCTAATGAGTCGCATACGAGGTTGAAACTGCGGCTAGCAGGAATTTTATTTTTGTTAATATGCCCGAATTCGCTGCAAGTTAACTATTGGGAATATAATTGCGAATACATAGAGTGCATTTGTTTTCATTCATTCTAGACTTTCGAGGAAATCGAAACACTTACGGATGTCTTATGTATGTAGGCCTGCTAATCTATTCACCAGATCTCTCACCTCAAGTTCTTACACTGCATTTTTATGGAACTTCCGAAAATGGCCTTCTGCAAAATCAATTTATAGAGTGTTGTTTTTTGTCTCTAGAATTATCGAAAAGCATTCATGTTTCCTTCCGAGCAGCCATACTAAGCTTGTTTTAATTACCATTTTGTCATAGCATTTTACGAACATTTAGCTCGTTATCACGAATAACCCATAATAATATGGTATACCTCCATATAACTAGGGCATCATAATAAAACAATAGGGTGGCTGGCATTTTGGACTATTCTTACTACTTAGCTACTACTTACAAGCTCCGAGTCACTTTTTCGGATACAAGATTCATATAAAATCCAACTACAAAACCTGGCCTTCTATTTGAATCATTTTGGAGACTTTACTTCACTTTGATTGAACGACTAAAGAATATTTAAGTTCTTCATCCGATCACTTTGTCGTTATGAGATACGATGCTTAAAACTCTAATCCTGAGTTGTAGGAAAGCCCCACTAAACAATTTGGCAGGACATTTTCAGTAATATCAAATGCATTCACCATATTTCATTTAAGGTGATGCATAACTGGTAGTAGAATTTTCCCACAACGACATTTCCATTGACTTTCACATAGCCGTGCTTTTCCAAAAGTTGTTCTCATCCAGTCCTTCATCGCCTTACACGAAATATACTGATAGCCCGGAAACTCCACTTAAATACGAAAAATATGATATTTTCCTCCATAAGAGATAAACATGATGCCTATTTACAACACTCTGGAATGATAACGGAAACTTTCGGCGAACCTAGGCCAAATAAAGCTGTATGCAAAACAACAAGTTGATTGTTGATCTTCTCGTCTGATTGGCCATTGCTTAACGTCCAATTGGCTGTTCGAAATGAAGTACCGGAATTCGCCTATTCCGTCCATCATTGGATGATTGATCGCAGGCAATGAATGTTATAATTCTGAATCCCAATTCTTTTAGGTTCACCGGGTCTATGTTAGCTGGGAAAGTTGTTGAGATAATACATAAAATGTATGGCATACAGTTCAGGTGTTTGATGCGAATTCAGTCAGCGGCACTGCCACTTATCCTACTGTGGATTTGGTTCGTAACTGGGAATTGTTTGCATATTCGCTCCTCGCAAGGCAATACAACCGCAATAAATGAAAGAGTTACTCCCAGCTCAGCCTCCTCAGATGACCAATGCTTGACATACCGTTTTCCAGTAGGACAGCGCGACCCATGTGCCGGGTATACCTGTGCGTTCATGGGCTGGTGTATACCGTCAAGTGATCTAAAACGACCAACATGTGTATGCTATAACAACTGTTTCGACGTGGGAGATTCCACTGATAAGGGAGTGGTCTGTGCCTCCGACGGAGTGGAGTATCCAAGCTTGTGCCATTTACGTCGAGCAGCCTGCAGTATGATGATAGATCTGAGTGTTACGTATAATGGCAAATGTGGTAAGCTTTATTAATAAAGTGGGAGTAGACAAAGTTCTACACTATTTTCCAAAATAAGCCTTAAATTGTTAGAATTTCTGTTCTCTTATCCATTAAATTGCATCACAAGATTATTACTGCTGAGAAATACACTTTTCGAATGCTATACTATATGGAATGGCACAGAGTGGGAAGCCTCAGGCATAGAATATGACACAAGGTTGCACAACAATTAATCACTTAAAATGAGTCTATCAACTACTTTTTATCAAATATGTATATATATCTGCTATACAAGGAACACTATGATAAAGTAATGAAGGTGCGTAAGTTAAGTATACAACGGATCCATGGGGATGATGAATTACCGAATAGTAGTTCTCATATATATAAATTTAATCCAAAAAGTCCAATTTTATACTATAACTAATATACAAATTATTTGCACTTTAATAAGTATTATATATTATTACTACTAATCAATTTATATAATTATATATATACACATATATCGCAGTAAAGGCGATTTCGAAATTTCAGTCCAGTTTGGAGGAGAATTTTACTTTGAAGCATGGATATTATTTAAACTAGTATAGCTTTAAGCATGAGTGTACTTGGTTGTTTACTATTGTTTTTATAATTTCCTTTATTTGTTTTAAATATAAAGTTGTTTTACTGAGATATGATCAGTAAATAAAAGTTGATCAAAGTTTGTTTATCATCATTCTCAGGCGAAATATATCTAGTACAAGAATTTACCTTCAAATTTTAGCAGAGCCATAATAATTTTTAAGATTCTATTGCTAAGTGCATTCATATCAGTAGGCCTCACATGTTTATTAAAGTTTACATTGCCCGGCTCCCAAAAAAGGTATATCATCCTGGGTGGAGTATACTTTCGACCTCATCTGAGTTTGATCAACATCAAAAAGGGAAATCGAAGCAGGGTATCTCAGCCCATAAATTTGAGCTATTACCACTATATCACATAGACAAAATTGTTTTTGATTCGATGGAAGGATGGAAATTTTAGAAAGAATAAGGCCTTCCCCAATTAACATTTGTAGATTGAGTGTCAAAAAGGTAAACTTACAATTTTCCATTAAAGTCGGCTACATTTTATATATATATATATATATTGGAAGTAGGTTTTGTGAATATCAGTAAATAAAGAATAAAATGTAATACAAAGTTTAAATTAATTTCTGCCTTTGGATCTAGGAAGGCGTGTAGTGATTTGGTGTAGTGTCAACGTGCCGCAATTATATACTGTCTAATCCTGGTTCAAGTGCCGTCAAGAGTATGGACCCCCTTGGATGGGAATATCTTTTGTAAAGTATGAATATATTAATTTTAATGTGAGACCTAATCAGATCATTACTCAGCTATCAGTCCTTCATCACTTCATGCGGCCTAGAGTGACTCATAAACTAATTCGTGCGCTTGAATATATGTCATCATTTACAAATCAATAGTTATGCTGCCAACAACTCAATTTAATATAATTAATTTAGTTAAATAGAATATGTCGCATTAACCTCTTGGATATTTTGGGTATAGGTAGAACATCAAGCTTGTTATATTTTTTAGTAATAGGCCTTTATATAACGTCATTTAAGAGATTTGCAAAGGAATTAGTACGAAAAGCTTATATTTATCAGCTGAGGTGATAATAATATTGAGGGTGCAATTTACAGATCCTTGTTTACTAAGGACCTGTGAAACTGGCAAGAAAACGAAATCAGGCTTTTAATTTTAGTTATCAGGGTGCAGACGTTCATAGAAACTCTTCCGAAAAAAGTCACTCATTTGCTTATATGTGCAAACAATGGAAAAACTAATATATTACTGTGTAAAATTAAGAAATGATTCTGCCTAAGCGGAAACTCCTTGAGGGTCTTACACAATATCTCTCGTAGATCAGGTGAGAAGGAAAACTATATTTGTGTTCGTCAGTAAACTTTCATCATTTATCCTTTCATTTATCTTGTTGTATTCTTCTTTTATTGAAGATAACAAGATATGATATAAAAAACTTATATGTAAGAAGTATGTATTAATTCTTTAAGGGGAAGATTTTTTACATTTAATTTTTTTACATTTACATATGCATTTAGACAATAAAATCAAACCAGATGGCATAAATGGTAATATAAATATATTTGGCTTATCAAATCATTGGAGACTTTGGAACACTAAAATAGATTTAATTCCAAATATTTTAAATTACATGAATAAAAAAGATTAAACCATGTAAATTTTTAAAGTTTTGATAAAAATGCTTTTTATATGCAAAGCTGCACAATTTTTTATGAAACATAGTTTGGAATAAGATAACAGGATTTGATTATTAAAAGATTGTATGTGTTAGATTATGGCCAGCCTTTTAGTCTTAGCTTTTATCTACAAAAAAGGCAAAATTGTAAAATATTTAAAGCAAGTAAAATAGAATAAGCCTTGCAGCAATTTAACATTATAAAGAGAGAACTTTATAGATATTATTGGTTAGAAAACTAAGCGATTCTGTTATTATAAGAATAAATTTGTTCTAAAATATTCACTTTATAAAAAAGATCTAGAGGAATAAAGTTAGATTACTAATTGCTGATATGAGTAGAAATATTGCTTGAGTTCTTCAGAGCCAGTGATCGACTAGCCTGTTTAATAAATATTTTATAGGTATCAAGTATAACCTTTTAAGTAAATGCTTTGTATCTTAGAGGCCAGCATCAAAAACAAGGAGATGTATGTAAAATTTTGTATAATAAAGTTGGTGATTACCATCAGCATTATTAATCTTACAAATAATTTCCCGATTTAACAGCATTGTAGGTAAATAAACCAAATATAAAAACAGTATCTATGCTGGGATGATAAAATTAGGTTCAAAATTTAGCACGTTTGAGCAGTGTTTAAGATGAATATTTTACCTCACAAAGACGACTTGATGGCCTTTAGAGTTTGCGTGACTAGGCATTATTATTAATTAAAAGTCATATGGTAGAGAAAAATGAGAACTAGATACAGAACCAAATTTTTAACCGGTTTATTTATAGATTTATCTCGTCAAAGAAGCCACTATAGCTCATGAACATTCTGCAAGGTGAATAAATAGCTTCTTGTTTATTTCGCAGCATGAAAACTATGTTTCAACTAGCGTTCTTTGATGAATTAATTAGGTGTATAGAGCTATTAAGGAATAAAATATATAAAAAGACAATTGTAGGCCTCCTACTTAACATTTTAACGAGTATAAACTTCAGACCATTACTTGCTACTTAGCGATAGCTAAAAAGGATATATTTCCTATTCACTATTCCACAGCAGAGTAGTTGAATAGGATTAGGCCGATTTAAATCGACGATAGCAGAAATTTTGTTCCTATAATACATAAGTCAAGTAGGTAAGATAAATTGTTACTCATAAAGAGTAATAAAGGTAATAAATTTTGTGCAGTTATGAGGAAAGAAAATATTTTTGGCATGCAATTTTTCCAAATCTAATATTTAATTTTCATATTGTCACCTTTTCGAATCCCATAATAGAATGGCATCATAGCAGGATCTTATTGAGAAGCTAACATTTTCTTTTGCTATGCCTACTTTTACTGTAGTGAAAGAAACTTGGGCTAGCTTTATTTCCGAGAAGCAAAACAACTCGAGACAACTAGA